CTATAACCTTACAGTAACCACAGTAGCCAAGTCTGTAATTCTGCATGTAGAACACACTGAATGCAGAAATTAAGGACTGTTTCAGGAAGAAAAACAGCTTGTGACTTTGGAGCTGGAGGAAATCCTCAGTTATAGGAGTGCTTGTAGATACATAAAGACACCCTCAGATCCCACATAAAGCCAAGCAGAGCTAGTCATGCTTGTAACCCCAGTGTTAGGGGACTGAAGTAGATGAATCCTGGACCTCACTGGCTAGCCAGTGTAGCTGAAGCCACAGGCTTCCTGTTCAGTGAGAGCCATGTCTCAAGGGATAAGGCAGAGGCCAGTAGAAGACACTCAATGTCCTCTGGCCTCTGAATGCACACTGGGGAGTGTGCATCCATGAGCTGCAGTTCACTCCTTCCCTTTCCTCCTCCCTCTCCTCAACCTTGCTCTCCATGGGAAAGTGTCAACAGAAGCAGTGGATTTTCTTCATCCTTTCAACAGAGTACATTCCAATTTAATTTACATGAACCATAAATAACAAATTAGCATTCATAGTTCTACGTACTCTCATGTCCAATTCCTATCTTAATAGTTTGCCCAATTTCAAAATCAACTCTCAAAAATTACTTTAACATTTTCAAATCTTCAGCTATTAAAAATAAATCATAAAATCACATGCGGTCCATATGCCTGTAATCCCAGCACTCAGGAGGCTGAAGCAGGTGGTTCATACACTTGAGCCCAGTTTACAGAGACCCTACCTCAATTAACAAACAGAAAGGTAGAAAATACATAAAACGAAAAACAGAAAGCACAGCTAATCCTGGAGACCACGTGAAACTCCTAGCTACGACCGCTTCCAACACCAACAAAGCCGCAGAGCGAGGTCACGACAGCACAGGACAGTCTGCATGCATCTCCTGTGTATACTTGGCTAGGACAAGATTAGGCTCACTGTAAAGAGCCGCCCAATTTTAGACTCTTACCTGTGTAACTTGACTATTCTCTCAGGATTCTGAGATGCCTTCTCCTCTATGAAGTCCACTTTGTACCTGAAAAGCAACACATACCCAAGTCAAACTCTAAACATACAAAAACATCTAAAGATGCCTCCCTGCCCCAGGCTTCAATAATCCCACAGCTGGAACAAAGTCCTCCCACTAAAGTCACAGCACCTGCTTGTTACCAAGCCAGCAAGCACTTCTGATCCTTCTCTCTGCTCATCTTACTTCTCACGGCGCTTCCCACTAGCTCGGGAACTGGACCGCTGCCTGCTAACCCAGCTCTTTAGCCGCCTTCCATTTCCCTTCCCTTAAGGACAGTCTATACTTACACCCTCACTTTTACTTAGCCATCTGCCTTAAACTAGCTTTCTTGACTTACAAATGTTAGCTTCCACTGATGCAGTTAGATTCCCCACACCTCTGTCCTAATGCATGTCTCTCTTCTGTGCTAGAGACCCAAAAGTCCCTGACATCTACCAGGGTACTTGTTCTGGCTGATACCGAGTGTCAACTTGAACAAGTTAGAGTCATCAGAGACGACAGAGCCTCAGATGAGGAAATGCTTCTATGAGATCCCACTGTAATATACTTTCTCGGTTAGTGATTGAAAGAGAAGGGCCCAGCCTATTGTGTGCGGTGCCATCCCTGGACTAGTATCCTGAGTTCTATAAGAAGGCACACTGAGCAAGCTATGAGGAGCAAGCCAGTAAACAGCACCCCTCCATGGCCTCTGCATTAGCTCCTGCCTGACTTCTTCCTATCCTGACTTGTTCCAGTGATGAACTATGATCTGGAAGTGTAAGCTGAATAAACCCTTTCCCCCAAACTTGCTTTTTGGTCATGGTGTTTTTGTAGCAGCAATAGAAAACCTAAGTAAGACAGTATTCCACAAACTCCTTAAACCCCCAATCACCAAACTGAACAACAAAAAAAAGTCTCCCTCTTTTCAAATTTAAACATGTTTTTCATGCATTTCCTATCTTAATATCATAACAACCACTCATGAGTCTAAGTGAAAAACCAAAGAGATATCCTTGATTCTTTTAACACCACACTCCTGTATCAACTACATTACCAAGTCTTACCAATTCTACTGTCTGAAGTCTCTCGAGGTGTAGGTGCAGAAGGAGTGGGATGAGAAGGGGTAGTGGAAGGGGCAGGGAATGAGGCAATGTCTGTCAGTATTAACTAATACATATGCAGAACTCACAGCCCACTCAGGTGAAAGCTTACTAAGAACTTGTCTGTTTATTCTTGAGTGTCAAGTAGATATCAAGTGGGTATGAACATGACATCATGAATTATGAGGACAGTAGAAGGTGCAATGGGAGCTGCAGTGGGGAATGCAGTGGGGAGTACAGTAGGAGATGCACTGAGGAGGTGCAGGGAGAAGTGCAGAGGGAGGTGCACTGGGGAGCACTGATTTACACCTGTCATCCTTCTTTTCCCAAACACCCATGCAAATACAGGTTCCAATTCCCTTGAATATGTGTCCTAACCCCCCTTTATGAAATGTTCACCGTCCGCTACAAGCCACTGATGGTACCTTCAGTTCTCTCAGAAGCAGAAGGCCCAGTCACTAAATGGCCTTTCACAATCCAACATTCTTTCCTCTTAAACTTTCCAAAATTATCCTTCTTCCTCCCATCACACACTGAACTAGAATATGCTAAAAACACCTAGAAAAGGGCTTCACAGTCTTCTAAACATGATATTAAAATAGGAAATGCATGAAAAATGTGTTTAAATGTTAAAGGGAAACATTGTCTTCTAACTTTTGGGAAGCTTTTGTCTTGCAACTAGGTTGTGTATCTTTCACATCAGCATTAATTAATGTCTCTTGAAGTTACTACAGCGTATACTACTTTGCAAGATGCCAACCTAGATAATAAATTAAGTGAGCCTCTTAAACTAGCTCAAGAATATATTTACGACAAAATATTCCCATAAGAATGTGACTCCACTGCTGCACACCTAAGGAAATTCTAACCCATATCCTTTACTAACTCCAAGGTATACACTGTGGCTTTGGGCTATAATGTCTTTCGTTTTCAACACAGATTTCCCTTTGCAGTTATCTTTAACCTTTCTATAATATGAACACTCAAATTCAGTTTATTCCTACAAATACATATAGAAGGGAAGCTACAAATTTAGAGAGTGAAAGTGATGTGATAAGCCATGTAAGATGACAAATCCCTCAAATGGTATTTCACACAGAGAAGAGCAGGAGCTGAATGCAGCATCTTGTCCAAACCACTTGCATTTTTCATTCTCAACCTTTTCACTCAACTTTAAAGGCTGCCTAGTACACAAATACACAGGTTATCACCTCACAGTGGAAGGACAAGGAGAAACATACTATCTGCATAAAAAGGGAAGGCTCAGTCTGAAAAACAGAAAACTAAAACATGAGAAAGTTACTGAGAGAGAAGGGACCACTTTTCTCAGGAGTCAGCAATGAGATTAATAAATGACAATACAGAGAGAGCAACATATTACAGAAAAAGAAATATTAGGGCAAAAAAATAAATAAATAAAATGATGCCTTATATAAATCAAATATAAAAATTCCTGGTGAGCATGGACGTGTAAGAGGGCCACAATCCTAGGAATTCCAAACACTACGACAGGAAAATGAGAAGTTCAGTCTACCTGCAGAACTCGGTCTCAAAATCCAAAGTAAAAAGAGGGCTGGAAATATAGCTCATTGGTAGATTACTTACCTAGCATGCGCAAGTCCCTACATTCAACCCCTAGTACCAGAAATATATATATATATGTATATGTATATGTACGTATATATACGTACATATACGTATATATACGTACATATACATATATATATATATGAAAAATAAAACAAAATTTCTTAGCAGCTGAGTTTTCCTCATTAGATGCTATTCTTAGAGATCAGCCTTGTTTGAAATGCAGTCAGTGCTTACTTGTTATGTTGAAATATTTCTAATGCCACTTTTGCATCAACTTCCAGAGTTTCAAAGGGAAGGTCCCTATATATTAAAGTATGGGCATCTTTTGTGAAAGAACGTAGGTTCTCCTGAAAAAAGAAAGAACTAACAGTTAGTAACCATTCACCCAAAAGCATTTCATTGTAAGTCGGAACACAAATTGCACACAAAATGCCATGGATCTAAGTGTAAAAGAAGGAAAAAGGGAAAAACTAATGTATTAGGACATTTTTCATTCATAGTGTTCCAGTGTGGAGACCACACCAATTCATTCAATTCCAGAAATTAAAAAATGTTCAAAGTATTATACTGGTTAGTAAAAACTGTTAAAGATAGATCGGCAGAGACATTTTTAACATTTTACCAAAACATAAAAATAAATGCTGACTAAAATTATAATGCAACAAGTAGAGACACTAACGAGCAACGAGACCTACAAATGTGCACTGCATACCACGATTAAAACCTAGTTCAAGAAATGCATGAGAAAAACGTCACTGTTTTCATTCTTGTTTCACTGGTCATGTGATACAGGATATTTGATCACATTGGGAAGCCGGAGATTGTGAACCTGAAAGACCTGTTTCTTGTTGTGATTTGGCTCAGCCCTAGCACACACCTTTAACCCAAGAGCTTTCTGTAAACAAGAACTAAACAAAGGCAACAAGAGGTCAAGAGGTGGAGCGAGCAAACAGTTGGACAGGGAGTGAACATAGGAGAACCCAGGAAAGAGAAAGGAGGGTCTTTGAGTTGAAGGATATTTAAGACAGCATGGAGAAGCTCTTCCTCTTCAGAGGTCTGTGGATTAGAAAGGTCTGCTAGCTGCTTCTCTGAGCTAACAGGCTTTCACCATATCATCTGGCTCCTGAGTCTTCATTTGACAAATCAAACATTTGCAATTTTGTTTTAAAAACAACAGTTATGTAGTGTCAGCAAATCCCAGATCATTCAAGATCACCATTATTTATGGAGCAGAAAATATACAATTAGTTGAGGTTTTGATATGTATATCATTGCTATTTGGGTCACCGATTTCTTTTTGGTTTTGTTTTGTTGTTTTGTTTTTTTATTCTGTTTTTCAAGACAGGGTTTCTCTGTGTAGCCCTGGCTGTCCTGGAACTCACTCTGTAGACCAGGCTGGCCTCAAACTCAGAAAACCACCTGCCTCTGCCTCCCAAGTGCTGGGATTAAAGGTGTGCACCACCACCGCCCAGAGGGTCACTTTTTTCATATCTAACCTTCTACCTTTAAAAAACAAACAGGTTACTGATTTTATTTGTATGTCGGTGTGTGCAATTGCCTATAGAAGCCAGAAGAGGGTGTCAGATCTATTGGAACTGGAGTAACAGGCAGTTATGAGTGCCTGATGTAGATGCTAGGAACAGAACCTAGGTCCTCTGTAAGAACAGCATGTGCTCTTTTAATTACTGAATCATTTCTCTAACCACATCTCCCTCATATAAAGAACTCTCATTGCATGCAAAATACTAAAACAGTTGGTGGTAGCTTTCAAACTCTACTCTAGGAATCTGAGGGGGGGGGTGGGAGGGAGAGAGAGGTGGTATAGTGTATGTATACCTGTTAAGGTGATAGGTATGTGATGGAGAAGGGAACATCAGCTAGTCAGGTATAAGGTGTCTTGCATGCTTGCACACATGCTCTACACCTCTACCTCCCATATTCCCATGAAACACTGTTAGCCACAGGACCTGAAACTCAGCTGGTGATCAGCAAATCCTCAACTATCCAGCCCCTATCTCTGCTCCAATACTCCCAACAGTGAAGGGGTTACAAGTAAGTACCTGGAGCTTTTTACACGAACACTAGAGATTTGAACTCAGAACCTCATGTTTGCACAGCATCTTAGTTAGGATTTTTATTACTGTGATAAAACACCATGACCACGAGCAACTGGAGGAGGGAAAGATTTATTTCTCTCATACTTTCACATCACAACCCATCATCAAAGGAGGTCTGGGCAAGAACTCAAAGCAGGAACTGATGCAGAGGCCATGGAGTAGTACTGCTTAGTAGCCTGTTTCCACAGCTTGCTCAACCTGCCACCTTCTAGCAAACAAGAGCACCATCCCAGGGATGGTACCACTGACATGGACTGGGTCCTCCCACATCAATCACTAACAGCACATACAGCAAGCATTCTTACTCAGCCATCTCTCCAGCCCAGCTTCTATATTTTATACTCTGGACATCCTATACACTATTGCTTCACAAGAATGGCACTTCAAAAGCTAGGATGGTGGCACACACCTTTAATCCCAGCGCTCACGAGGCAGAGAGGCAGAGAGGCAGAGAGGGGCAGAGAGGGGCAGAGAGGGGCAGAGAGGGGCAGAGAGGG